TGTCTAGTTTAACGAAGAGAAGGACGAGGGGGGACATGATAGCAGTGTTCCAATATCTCAGGGGCTGCCACAAAGAAGAGGGAGTCAAGCTATTCTCCAAAGCGCCTGAAGGCAGGACAAGAAGCAACGGGTGGAAACTAATCAAGGAGAGAAGCAACCTAGAACTAAGGAGAAACTTCCTGACAGTTAGAACAATTAATCAGTGGAACAACCTGCCTCCAGAAGTGGTGAATGCTCCAACACTGGAAGTTTTTAAGAAGAGACTGGACAGCCATTTATCTGAAATGGTATAGGGTTCCCTGCCTGAGCAGGGGGTTGGACTAGATGACCTCCAAGGTCCCTTCCAACTTTATTATTATTATTATTATTATTATTATTATTAATAATAATAATAATAATAATAATAATAATAATAATAATAATAATAATAATCCAATCAAAGTGTTGTTTAGGATTACCATGAGAACTATAAGCACACTGTCCAAAGCATAAGCCTTTTCCTTATGCTCTCCAACTAAAATAGTAGGCTGCCTTGTGGGGAACAATTTGTAGAAGGTGTACAGGCAGAAAAGCATCCTTCCTCCAGACTTGAAATTTCATATTCATTAGTATTGTTTTAATAGCATACTAATATATCTCTCTCTCTGTCTCTCTGTCTCTCTCTCCGTCTCTCTGTCTCTGTTGTCTGTCTCTGTCTGTCTGTCTGTCTGTCTGTCTGTCTGTCTCTCTCTCTCTTTCTCTCTCTCTCTCTCTTTCTCTCTGAATTTGTTTCTCCCAAGTGGCATTATATGAAATTTTGTACTGCGTTCCATTTAGGAATATGCCTAATACATGTCAACGATTCCTTAAGATTAGTGGGCACATCTTACTCGTCAGAAGGCAGAAAATGTCCATGAGTATGCAAGAAACGAAAGGATTTAAATTTCCGTTCCTAGCAGACAACTCATGTATGGTAGTATCTTCCCTCCACAGGTTTCTTCAAAATGTTGCAACTAAATGGAGCCTTGAATTCTCTCTCTCTCTCTCTCTCTCTCTCTCTCTCTATCTATCTATCTCTCTATCTCCCTCCCTCCCTCCCTCCCTCTTTTGAGCTGTGGTATATTTTTTCTACTCACCACTGACATCTTTACCCAGAATACTTCTGGCTTGCTTCACCGTGGCTTTAAGACAAAAAATTGGCCTCTGAAAAACAAAAAGAGAAGATCTTAACATGAGGACCTAGCTAACAGGTGAACATAATAGGATTTGGAATGTCAAGGTTGATATAATCATTAACATGAGAAAGGCTAATGATGAATAATCATAACATGAATAATTTAGACTAATCTGGAATATAAACAACAAAACATACTTGGAAACCCTTTTGCAACTAAATAAATAGAACAATTCTATAATAACAACCTACAAGTGAATGGAAAATTGGAGTTAGATCTTACCTCTAGCTCTTTGACTCTCTGTAATATAATTTGATGCTCTTCTGGATCAATACTGAAGGCCTGATTTGGATGTTAGAAAAGAAATTTTCAGAGTGAGAATATGATTTCAATATTACCCCAAATAGGAAAGACCCCAAAGTAAAAGCAAACACACAATAGAACATGAGTTTCTTTTAACAAGAAATTAATATTCTGTATCCTGAAGTCATATCTTCCTCATAATTTCAAAAGCCCTTGGTTTCTAATCTATTCAAGCTTTTGGCAAGAAGCCCAAAGACAGGGTGATGGGGGAGGGAGAGGAAGACAGGAAGGGAGAAAAACAGAGGCATGGAGCATCCTGCCTACCAACATAGTTACAGTACCATACTACAGAGAGCAGCTATTTGTTTCATTAGCACTTGGAGAGAGAGAAAACACACACACTGAAGAAGAAAGAAAAGAATGTAGTCTTAAGTGCAGCCTAAAGCCTTGAAGATGAATAATAAGATCCATGAATTTGGTTCTTTAACCCAACCTTTTGCACATATTCATAGAGCTCATCTGAATCAGTAACATGATTCTGTTCCACTTGGCCCACACGATGGAGAATGGTATAAAGGACCTCTTCGTACAGCAGGGTGAGCTGCAACAATAATTAAACAAAAATTAAAAACACATCAGAATCAAATCAGCATAATTTGGATTAGCAGGGTTGCAAACTATTTTACAGTTTGCAAATATTTTTTTACAATTTAAAAGCAATACAAATATAGAAAAAAAAGAAGGAAAGTAAAGAGATAAGTAAACAAGAAAAAAAAATTGAAGAGTCCATCTAAAAGCATGAGCATGTGGGAGTACAACAGCAGGCTAAGATGGACTAAAACAATGATGTGTCAAAATCCAGCAGAAATTCAAAATATGCCTAATGGATAAAAATATAAGAGCCGCCCAAAGAAAACTAGACTCCTCAATTTCTCTTCTAAATTGTAAAAATAGTCTGTGGCAAGATGGACGAAAACTAGCTGATCAGAGTCCAATACACTTAGATTAGAAAATGAAGGGGGGGGGAGAAGCATGAGAAGTGTGTAACGACAAATCTTTCCTGAATCAAGGTACTACAAGACAACTTTTGGTACCTACTTGATTACTAAATCATTAACTGGATTACTAATATGATAACCTGCCTTCTTTCATTTGTTGGGAAGAATTGTGTTCATCCGTTATGGGTATCTCTAATTAGCTGTGCTGAAAAGAAGGAACGTACTAAAGAGACCTTCGTATTCAAGCTTTTGATTCAATTGATAGAATTGTAGTGTGCATTGTTGCCTTCTGTGCTGATTGTGCCCACCAGGGACATAGGGGAGGACATAAATTCTCTACGTTCACCTCTCCCAAAGGTTACCATTGAAGTCAACCCCACATGCTTTCTAAATCCCCAGCAACAAGCAGAGAGGAGAAATGCAATATGAGGTCATTAGGCAGAAGGGAGTGGGAGGGTAGTGACTGAGAGGCCAGATCGCCTATATTTAATATGGTACTTGCTAGGCATTCTTTCACTTAAACCTGTCCAA